GCAAATTTGCTTACCTTCTGCCTTGCAAAGGATTTAGTAACTGCTCTCTGCTGGAGGGTTTAATTGCAGAGCCCTGAGGACAGAGCCTATTAGTTGTGTTCTGCTGCTCTTGCTGCTTCTTTCGGTTTCAGGCTGACTTCCTCCACCTCCTCTGTCTTCAGGGACACAGATGCAGATGCTTTGCACATGTGCCTGAGCTGTCCTTGAAAGGGACTGAATGACTAACTTTGGGTACTCACAACAAGTGCATCCGGGAGAGCACAGTGCACATGTGAGGTTGCCAAACCCACTCAAGAGGCTGGGTAAATACTTAGGACAGTTAAAAACTCATTAGCGGAGCTCATCTAGCTATGTTCTACATGAACTAAAGCCACAGAAGGTATGTGGCAATAACTGCAATTTGGGTGCCAGTTAATATAACCCTGTAAAAAGCAAAATACCTAAACACCTGCTGGAAACCAACTGTAACTGTAACAAACCTTCAGCAGTAACAAAAATACTTCTTTTTCTCCTGTTGAAACTGGCTAGTAGGCATTTCCAGCTCCTTTCTACAAGGATGAGTAGTAGTTTTAGGAAACAAATTGAAGTGTTGTTGTGCACTTTCTGCAAGATATGAGATGCAGAGGACAGCGGGATGGGTGACACCATCCCCAGGTTCTGAAGCGTATGGTACACCTGTGGAGTGCATTTTGCACAGCAGCAGTGTATCACACCTGAGTCACGCATCTCGATGCACAGAGGCCTTTGAGGAAGGCTGGTGAATACTGGCCAATGTTGAGCAGAACACGTCAACAGAGCTGTCAGGAAGGAAACACCATGTTTCATTTATGGGATTACACTCAAAATGTTTGAGTAGTTTTTTCATCAACAAATCCTAAACAATGCAGATGCAAAACAAGTAACTCACAGTGTGCTTTATTATTTTTTTCACAATATTAACTAGACAGACATGGAAAGTTTAATGGCAGCATGTTCTTATAACATTTTAAAGACAAAGAACAACATAATCATATTAAATGATGATAAACTGTCAAACTACATTACCATACATACATCACCCAAAGGTACTGGATAAACAATATCTGCTTATGTACATTTATGCTGGTGACAATTAAAATTCAAATATTCAGAAGAAAAAGAAAAAATATGCTATTTAAATTATAAAAATATACAGTTTTTGTGTGGAATTCTTAATGCTGTATAATGTTTTGAAAATAACTTTTTTGTGTGATGAAGCTGCATTAGCTTAGTATAGGAGTGTGATTTAAACCAAACAGATTAAATTGGCTCTTTTGTCTTCCTTGTATTTAGACTTGTTTGAAAGAGAGATAGGAATGAAACACAAAGCTGGGCTTTTGCAATGAGAAAGGATTTTTATACTCATGAATCAAAAGATGTTTAATTTCTTAGATAGTATTGAGCCATTAACTCATAATACAAATGAATCCTTTTGCTAGCTTGTTTAAAGACAGAGGGAGGAAAAAAAGAAGTTAGGTTTTAACATGCTACTTCACTATACTTTTAATCAACAGGACTTCTAGGTTTATGAAGTGGAGTGCAGGTGCACAGCTAAGCACAGTGTCATGCTTCAGGGCCAGCTGACTCCCACTGCCTGAGCTGGGGAGACGGTGTGTGTGCAAGGATTGGGGGTATGGGTCTGTATTCTTTGAACTGTATCACCTTCGTGTTTCCTTTGCACATCTGTTTTCAAGGAAACGTATCTTTCTTTTCATAATTGTTCCTTATTAGTGCAACCCTAGTCAGGCTGTTTGATACCCAGTCACAACAGCAAACCGATAAACTTTTATACTGATTGGATAATTTTATAATAATTGACAAATAATTTTGTAATCGAAAATTTTTACTAATTGTAGTCATGCAGTGCACACATTTGTAGCTGGTTTTAGTTAAAGATTATTTTCAGATCTTCTTGAGTGATCTCCTGCATCATATGAAACTCGACATTTTCTTACATACCAATGTCACTCTCCATATCTTACAGCCCCCTTTCTTATCTGTATGTTCTCTTTTGCTTCAACAGCCCCGTTACTCCTTTGGTGGATCCAGTGCTTGTTCTATTAAGAAATGTCCTCTGTGTCAGCTCTGACCTCAGAATACTTAACTTCCAGATTTTTCTTTTAATCGTTTTTCCATCTGTTCCTAAGTTACTGATCTATAACAGATCCTATATGATCTTATGGATTTTTTTTTCCAGAAGCAAAATATTTTCCTTATTTTCTTAATAAATGGAGTGAAAAAGAATTAATGACAAATAAACTGAATACAGCAAAATCAAGTATTTATCTTAAATTCCTACGGATTTCCTGTTTTGCAAAAGACTGCCTTCAAAATTAGCAAAGTTTCATAGTGAAGAATAATTGTGGGCTGTCTGTAATCTGTTACTCTGCCCTTATATCATCCTTTTTCAAGGGAAAGGATGACAGATTAACAAATTGCACGTAACAGTCATCTTTAACCAGGGAGATATTTCAGTGATCTCCTTGTTTCCCTTCACTTCTTGACCTCTTCCTTTGCTGTCCTCTGATCTTCCACACCTAACCAATTTCAGAAGTGTCCCTCTTCTTTTATTTTTTTGCTTTTACAACTTGGATATGCTGGGAGTGGTCAGCTGCGTGTGCATACATAGTGACAGAGGATGGCTTTTCACTGAAGCATGGTCTTGGAGCATGGAAATCTGTAAGGCATTTTGTGGAAAAGAAATCTTATGTGAAAGTGTAATGAAGAACAGGAAAGGCAGGAATTATTGCAAAAGAAATGCAGGAGTGAGAGCAGAGGATTTTATTAAAGAAGTTCAAGCTTTTATATACATTCAATGTTTCTAACATGTTTCTTAATAAATGTATTATCAACTAGCATTATATCTAATGTAGCCACAATACTGTACTATTCTGCAGTCAGGATGGGAAAACTTTGTTAGCTCTTTAATAAAATAAAATCATCAACAGTCATCATGACTCTTCTTTTTTGCCTGGTATTAACTAATACACTGGGAAGTCCAGTGAGTAGACACAACAGAACACAACATCCTCAGTATTTATTTAAATGTGTAGCATGTGTCTTTTTCATATTATTTCTAAAGCAGCTTTAAAAAACTTTAGCCATTGGAAGGTATTAAAAATAAAACCCATTCAAATTATCCTGGTAGTATAGCAGCACTAGAATTGAGAGTTACTCTTTTACTACTTTTGACAATGTAAACCTTTAATAAAATAAACAATATTGAAACAATTTGAGGTCTAATAGTTTGTGAACTTCAATGGGTATATGGGCACAAATTGAAACGAAGACTAGATTGTGAAATGAAACATTAGCTCGATACCAGCCAATTCCAGTTTTGAAATTGGCCGCAGACAAATTTAGCTTGGAAGCTAAAAAACCCAAAGCCCACACTCAATCCACAATATTCGGTTGCTCCCATTTCAAATATTTTTCATATGAACCCTCCATGAGCATTCCCACTTCTGACAGAAGCACTCAGAAAACATTGCAGGTCCTTTTTGTTTGATGGTGGGATTTTTCATTTTGCTTTAAGCAAGCACAGTTTAGATCCCATTTTTGTGTTCCTATAAACATTTTGGTTTTATGTTTCTATAAAGTTAAAAGTAATTTCAAATCTGAAATGTAAGCTTGCTCCATCTTTGCTCATACAAAGCGTAGGTGCCATGAGTAAATAGCAGTAAAAATGCTGAGATGTACAACTCTTAAAAAACAAATAAAAAAGCAGCTTTGAAGACACAACATCAACTACAGCCTTAACATTGAACATATTACATTCCCAAGTTAATGGAGCTATTTTGCATATAATGCCACGAAGTTATTCAACTGAAATCTTGAGGTTGAATCTACAGTTTATTCACTGTATTTTTTTCACCCTTAGAGCACTTATGTATTGTATGATACATTTTATCCAGAGCTTTGCAATCTTTTTTTTCTATGTCTGGACGTCCATTTACCCACAAATCTCAGACTTCAGAAGTTTCATAGAAAAAATAGGCATGCTTGACTTAAACATTTGAAGGTGAACACTTCCATGCCTTGGAGTGGCCTGTGGGACACGCTCCAGATTCTTCGGCTTCACTGGGGCTCCCGGCCCCCTCCGAGCGCATGGAAAGTCCTGGTTTAAAATGCATTGACACATCTGGTTTCAGCACACAGATCTGTTTATAAAACCATATACTGAGTACTCTGCATTAATTTCACTTGAGTTGCATTCTGTAAGATGAGCAGATGAATTCACCTCCCACCTTTTCCTCCACCCTGTTTTCGCTCAAAGCGACAGTAGGCACCTGCACGATCGAGGTGTCAGAGAGTCTCTGTCCAGAGAGAGGATCTGGAGTTTCTTCATCATCTTTTCTTCTGTAGACAGTCTTAGGAAATTATCAGCTTGAATCATTTTGAGGGCGAGGGGCAGGAGGATAACACTCACTTTCTTTTCCTGTTCTGAAAATGAACTTGATTTTGGTGTCCAGTTTGATAAACAAAGATAGTCAGAGCTAATCTGTAACTCAGCTGAGGTCTGCTTCTTGCCAAATAAAATTAAGATCTTTTTCAACTTTCAGGGATTTAGAGACCGCATCTAATTGGTTTCAAACCCCTGGAGGAACTCAGTAAGTAAACAGGATTAGTTGCAGATATGAGCCCACTAAAGTGGGACACAGGTCAGGTCTTCAGACTCCAGCTCTGCTCAGTCAAAGCAGGCACTTACGGTCTCCTGATGTTTCTGTGTCAGTAGCTGCAAAAAAAACGTTTTACTGCTGAGAAAATCATTGGAGCGGCAATTTCCTGCAAGCCCCAAAGATTTAACTTCACACTTCTATTAAAAAAAAGTATTTGAGTTGACACGTATTAAGGTATTATGATTATGACGTGATGGCACAACTGGTAACTTGAAAACACATGTTTACAAGGCATAGGCAAAATCGTATTTCCAACTGTTCTCCTGTAGGGATAGCCAGGCGTCCTTCAAGAAGCTGCCATCTTGACTCCAGGTATGTACCACGGTGAATCCATCACTCTGTCAGTTCTTGCCAGCAGGACAGGGTGAGATCTTCTTTCATGCTGACCTTGTCTTTCAGATCCCTCCCAGCCACCCGGAAAATGCAAGGAAAATCAAGACAATTACGCAGCCTTTAGCAGCTTAAGTAACTGCCCTCATGAGTGTAAGCAGGTAGGTCTTTGTTAGTATATTTGCTCTTCAGTGATAAAATAATCCAGCCAGCTGCATTAATTAAAAAAAAGAACCTAAAAGACTTTGAGGCTCATTAAAGTTGAGAATAACAACATGACATGATGACAGATACAACTTGCAGAGTTTCTGAAAATAGCAGGTTAAAATGTAAATATCTTTTAATAAATAATTTTCCTGCAATGTAAAAATAAATGATATTTCCTTTGGCAGTAATAGCTGATTTAATCTTTAGCTGGGAAGTTGTTTTGCTCATAAAATATCATTGTGCTACAGAAAAAAAAATATTATTTTGTTGTTTTGAAAGACTTTTGTAATCCACGATAAACTGGGTGACTCTACTTATGTCCCAGATAAGCGCCAAGAGTGATGCAAGCTCCCACCAGAACCAGACTCAGGATAGTCTTCAGAGAGATCCAGGAGAAATCGAACAAAGGCCTCATACTGTTGCCATACAACTCCACGAAGGCATCCTAGAAAAGGAAATAAAGGACTATCAGAATCGCAGTAACTTTTTCAGAGAGGGAGGGCAGCTTCTTCACACGCAGTGGTCATCCAGCAATCATACCAGCACAAAAAGACCCACACAAACCTATTAAAATAGTTATTTGGGAGCTATGTTTTCGTGCAGTGCTTAGCAGAAAGTTCCCCTGCCTACTTCTTTACAAATATTGCTGTAATTACTTACAGTCATGACTTCTGCTTTAGGCAGTCTAACAGAAAATATTGGAGCAGCATTTTTAAATACGAGTACCACCATTTTGGCTCCTGACTATTGTATATACAAATGTACACACAAAGGAAGTAAACAGACCTTCATTCTCCAAACCTTTCATTTCCACTGGACATAGGGCATCTGTATTGCCGGTCTTTCACAACTGTCACCAAAAGGGGTCACAGAATCATAGAATACCAGGTTGGAAGGGACTTCAAGCATAATCTAGTCCAACCTCTCAAGGTAAAAGTATAGTTTAAATGAGATGAGTCAGCAGCCTGTCAAGCTGACTCTTAAAACTGACCAATGCTGGGGGAACCACCACTTCCCTGGGAGATTACTTCCATGTCTGATTGATCTCATAGTAAAAAATTTCTTCTGGAGTTCAATGGGAATCTCTCCAGAAGCAACTTGTGTCCATTATCCTTTGTCTTCCTTGGGAAAAGGGAGTCTCCATCTTCATGGTAGCCACCCTCTATGTACTGCTACATGGTGATAATGTCTCCCCCAAGCCTTCTCTTCTCAAGGCTGAACAAACCCAGCTTTCTAAGTCTTTCTTCATACAGCAGGTCTTCCGAGGGTGATGCTTTGGTTATATGCTCGTGCTAATCACGCCTTGGCTGTGGCAGTGGTCTGGCTACAGGGTCCAACCAGCTGAACTGACAGTAGAGTAGCACAGCTTTGCCTATAAAAGAGCTTTCCATGGGATCGTCTTGTCAGACTTACCCTCCAGCCTACAGTCAAGATGTTCAGCTCAAGGAAGAGGAGGGGAAGCATTCAGTGACGGCTGTCCACAAGGCACCTGGTGTGAGGTGTATGGGGATTCCTCTCCCTCAGCCCAGCCCAAACCACTCTAGGTTTCTCCTTTGAGCTGCAGTCCTCCATGTATGGAAAGCTGTTTTGTAAAGCTGCTCCAGGAAAGTTGGGAGGTGCATGTAAGCATTGAATGGAAAAGCTGTTCAAGTAGCAAAGATAAAGTTTTTGTGACTTGTAAGTATCGTGGCATTTGACTGAGCTAGTGATCAGATTGGTGACACTCTGCACGTAACACTTTTCTTTCAGGCTGCAACTCCTAACAAACATGAAGCTTCAAAGCATTCCTGAGAGATAGATAAATCATACCGTATGGCATGAAAGCAGTAAATAGCGATGCTGGATGACTTAAAAAATGTGACAAAACTGATAGCATCATTTAAGGCAACTCTTTTATTGTGCAGCCAATCGAGGTCTGCTCCCAAACTACTGAGATAAAGCCATGAAATAGCTATCTAATGTGGAAGTTTCAGTCTCTACCTTCATTACTCTAGACTTCCCATTTTTGGTAGAAGTTAACATTCTCTATTTAGATTATAGTGCCTTTAGCTGTTTTGTAATGTTAGTATGCTAGGAGGTAACCTGCCTTCTAAAAATGCACATATGTTATGGTTTACAGCAGGAA